GTAGTGTTAAAAGTTAACAAGAATCTACCACAAATAAACCAATAAATATTATTTTGACTTATGCTGTAACATTTCTGAAATTGTAAACAATAACAAAATTAAACTAGAAAACATATTTTCATCCAGATTTGTGGTATAAAGTTCTTTGTAAAAAAAAAAACCTTTTCTAAACCTCAAGTTATTACTGAAAAAGGAAATTTTGTAATAAGAAAATTGACGGAAAAGTGAAATTGATTGACATTAACATAACGTTTAAAGAAATAATAGGCGTGAGCTTACTCAGCTTGTATAACGCAAACGATTTAGCCCGCTATCGCAGAATATCTATTCAATATACAGTATATAGCTATCACATTCACGCCAACACAACTTTATTTACAGAAAAATTACGTCTTTAATCAAGATAACTTTTGGTAAAACATCCTTATCGCACAAAATTAATACTGAAATGCAATTCCCAAAACTGAAATGGGAGTACAATTTTAATTACTAACTTCCCATTAGTCAACAAGTTTGCACAATAAGATTGATGCTTGAAAAAAAAAACATGAACATTTGTCTGTAAATTAAGGTCTCCATCAAGTTTCCGCCACAGCCAAGGAAGATAGTTCAATTCTGATACCAACGTTGTGTTTTGTGTTCCTCACTTTATCCACTGCTATTTTAAGCTTTTATCACCCCTATGGGACATTTAGTCATAGTAATAGGAAACGTAATGAAAGAAAATTGATGCTCCCGCCAAGAATGAATCGAGTTCTGTTATTAGGTTTCTGTAGGAAAGAGGTCAGTCAATCCATGTTGATTCTATTGCTGGTTGATTGCAAAAGTGGCATAGGGAGGCATCAGAAGGCCTTATAGATTTTCACAACAAGGCTGGTAACTGCTATTCATCAGGTTCCATCGATACAGAAATTGAATTTTAGGAAACTTTGTTTGCTGATCGGCGAGTTGCAGACTTCTGGATCTGACCGTATTCTTTAATAGTCTTATAGAGACATCACATATTAGCTCGGCAATCTCTTTTGTTTAGTCACACCGCTACCCGCAGGCAAAATTCCTTTAACCACTGATTCAAACAAGACTGACAAAAATCGGCCTACAACACAAAAAACATCCTGCAAATGTTTAAGAATCTAAACTTCCTCCACCCCTTGCATACAATCACAATACCTATTTCCAAACAAATTGTACTTGATTCTTCATTCACATCAGTTAGCTGGTGATTTACTTCAATAGTGGTTGATGACTGAGACCACAGGAATCTAATCCCAGTAGGGGATTTTGCTTGGTGGGACTGTCAAACACTATAACAAAACTACTAGTCCCATAGGGGATGGGACTAGTAGTGAATTAAGTAAGAAACAAGATGTTGGTCTCAGATTGGAGCTCAAAGGAGACATTAATTTACGGATAGCCCTCATACAAAAAAAAAAAAAAAAAAATAGTTTTCTCTTGTTACGCAAACAAGAACATGGTTATAATATCGCCTGTTGTTAAACAAGTTTTGTTTAAGCTCAAACTAAGTACCGTATTTGCAAAACTAAATATGTTGCTGTGGTTAAAATATTCATGACAATAATTAGGTTAGGAATTTGCTGGTTAAAAAAGGTTGAAAATTGTACTATATCATGGCACATATCAAATTTGTTGATGAATGTGAACTTAAATACTTGACTCATTAGTTATTTTATAAATCTAAAATAAAAACAGAAAAATTAAAGGGATATAATTAGATATTGACATCAAAATTTATTAGAAATTCAATAAGAGATTAATGGATTGACTTTGAAATTTTAATATTTTTTAATATAATGCACATATAATTTTTTCAATTTATTAGGTATTTATTTTAACTTAATTTTAAGACTAACTCTTCTAACATGAAAGTAAAGGGTTTGTTTTGCAGCAAGGCGCAGTTTGTACAACACCGACGACTAGACTATACTCGTATGGTGATGTTATATCTCGGTACAGGGTACAGTTTACATCTTGTAGTTTCACATTGGAAAGATATAACTCTCATAAGATTCAAGTAAAATCATGAGGGTTAGCTAAGAAAAATTGGCACATTGGTAAATCACAGTGGTTAGTTGGCTGCTACAAAACTAATAATAAATATTCTAAAATTGGAATATTCTTTGATGGCAATTGCCTATAGAGTTTCCAAGTGTAACACTTGAAAACACCGTAGGAAATTATCATTTTAAAATGTCAATTCTAGTTGGTATTGATTGGCTGCCAAGACCAATTCTGGAAGTTCACTATATTTAACATAAAAAAAAGCATAACCGAGAAGATAAAATATTGTGTTGTAGTTATGATATTTTCCTAGAAAATGTCATACTCAAGGGTCGTTTGGACTACCGGTTTTCAACACACATTTAATCATTATCAAATATAAAAACAATTTGATCACATTTTAAATTGAAATTCTTCGGTTGCATTCTTTAATTCCTACAACTCCTAAACCTTTTGCAGATTAACACAGTGGGCTACATCACACTACTGATTCACAAGGTGAAACTTTCGACCAATAAGTACACAATAGATATTTACACAAATCTACTCCTTTCAGTTCTCAGGAATAAACTTAATTCATACTGGAACAATAGACCCAGCTAAGACTAGATAGAGTTAACAATATACTTAAGACTTGCCAATAACAATGGTGAATCCATTATAAAAAGAACCATATAGTAATACACCTAAAAATGCCACAAATGAAAAAAATCAATACATACAGATTTGTGCGAAAGTTGACTTAATTCTTAATAATAGGTACTAGTTAGTTTAATTTAAAAATGCATAAGTATTAGCAAATTACACTGCCCAATTTTTTATTGTTATGAGCTCTTAACAGCCCTGCCTAATTCGTTACGTTACTACAGGAGCTTAAAGTTATTTACAGTCAGGTATCGATTATCTGACTTGTTTTCACCTGAATAAACTAGAATCACTTTTGTGTCTCTACTTTTTTAACCATATTTTTACGTTCTTTGAGATGATGGCTTAAAATCAGAAAATATTAGTGGTTAGAAATACGTACTTGAGCCATGAATAGGTTTCACAAATACAGTTTAATCAATTTCATGATTTGTTAGGATTTCCAATGTTAACTGATTTTGCCATAGTTGGTTTGTGCAAGGTTCTCATCTGCCCCTGTCAGGGGCGCACCCAGACTTTTGATTTGGGGGGGGCTTCTTATGTATGCTTGCCGGGGGGTCTGGGGGGTACGGCGGGGGGAACGGGGGTCCACCCCCGGAAAAATTTTGAAAACTATACCTGTAAACCCACGTTTTTAGGCTATTTAGGGACAAATAAAAGAGATTTTTTGATCGGATTTTTGGATGTTCTTAGTATTAGTAGTATTACTATATTGGAATAAAGGAATGGATATTACATTGCCGTCAGGTAATTTAGTAAGCTAAAACCAACTATCTGATTAATTTACATGTGATATTGAATGTTATACAAAAAACAATATTGGTATTTAAGAAATAAACAATACAATTATAATTTTAGCAGTGTAAATATAAATAAATACACGTAAATAAAAAATCTGACAGTAAAATAATCTGTATCAGCTGTTTTTTTAACTTCAGCTACAAAATAGTATTACGTTACTAGCCCGGTAAGTGGTGTTTACCGTGCGAGCGCGACAATTACCGCACGAGACATAGCAGAGTGCGGGATTTTCGTGCGAATACGTTAAAGACGGTGACACACTATCGATCTTTTCTCCGAACAAGACCCCGAACCAAGCAGGGAGACGGGAGGTCGAAGTGTGTCAGGGGTCCGTACACCGATCCAGACGGCGAACCAGACATCAGGCCGAGCAGGGAGACGAGCGCTCTAGAGGCGGTTTTTTTGGCGAAAGATCAAAGAGTAGATCGGTCCGATGTACGGAGTGATGTACGATAGCATAGATAAAACATACTCCCTTGTGTTGGTTAGTCTATGACGATAGTGTGTCACGGTATATTTTTGCCCCGTACATCGTCGCGAGCGCCGCACCGAGCGGCCGCCTGCGCTAGCGTTGATAGTTCTAATTTAATATGGCAATTACACTCTTTAATTGCTAAAATAAATAAATGTTGGGTAATATTTTGCCGTTATATATTATGGAAATTTATGTTGTAATTTTGTCTTGTGTTTGGTCAAAGTTGAAAATGTATTTTAAAAGTTGAAACCGTTAAATCAATGATATCGGTACCAATGATGTTTAACTTGAATTAAGTAATTGATGTTATACTTTAATTCATTCAAAATTAATATAAACATAAAAATTGTTAAAGGCAATCGAAACTATCATTCTGTAACATTTTATTTTATTTCATGTTTTATTACTGTTTTATTATTACCGCCTACGCGCTCTCACTCACACACGCTCTCCATCTCTCTCTAAACTCCCTTTTACCGCGGTCGGTAGAACTTGTCTGGTCTTGGTCTTGTTCGGGACTTCGGGGAAATGTTCGGATTGAAAATTTGCAGATTTTTACCTCCCTTCTCCCTGCTCGATTTGGGGTCTTATTCGGGGAAAAAAGGAAAAAATCCAAAATTCAACGATGTCAACAAAACAGCACATAGTGCGAGCGCGTCAAGGTCAAGTGATCATTGGAGTAACTAGAACTAGCGGCGCTAGCCTAGCCTAGCGCTGGTCGCTAATGGCAACGGCACATAGGCAGTGGCAGTGCAGTAGCATTGACAATCACTAGTCACTACACTATGAGGCAGGCAGGTGAGCCGTTCTGTCTCTTTTTGTCTACATAGGCCTAAAAAATACTCGTTACACAACGCGTGCTCCTGGCTGTATTTAATTTAAATCCTGTTGTAAGAATAGTTTTAAAGTTAATGATATTTTAAAAATTACATTCTGAAATTACAAATGAAACATTTATGTATATACTGCTGACTCCTGGCCATCGAAAAAAATTAACCCTAGGTCCTTGGGGGGGGGCTTAAGCCCCCAAAGCCCCCTCCTGGGTGCGCCACTGGCCCCTGTTGCCGTTACCAAGTCTAATAGTTTTATTTTTTAGTCAGTAGTGTTATTGTTCCGTGGACTAACTGTTCACAAAGAGATATCAAGTACAGATAGTCATTTTACTATATGCGGTCCCAATCGTTTATAATTTCTTAGCAAAAAGCAGTACAGTATTTTTGCAGAAGTGTGTTTTTACTTTTTATTTACAGTAAAGTATACCTTAAAATGCACGGTGTGGCCAGCACAAATGAGGATGAGAGAGAGAGTTCCGTCAGTACAGTTCTGTTTTAATAAAAAATATACAATACAGAAGAGTCTTGATGAAATGACCTTCATTTATCCAACCATCTGTGTTATCCGACCATACTGACAACTGTAAAATTGTGTGTGGTTACTGAACTGTACACTATAGACTTCATCTAAACAAAGGAACCAAAAGAGATAACACATGATTCTAACAAATTGATCTAAATGAAGGATCGGATAGAAAAAACAGATGATTCTAGCAAGTTGATCTAAACAAAGGATCAGATAGAGACAACACATGATTCTAGGGAGTTGATCCAGACAAAGGACCAGAAGAGACAACACATGATTCTAGCGAGTTGATCCAAACAAAGGATCAGATAGAGACAACACATGATTCTAGCGAGTTGATCCAGACAAAGGATCAGATAGAGACTATCACAATACAAGATTATATCTGTACCCATTTTACTTCATCTTTAATATTTAAATAGAACAGTTTAATTTTTGTAGTATTTAAGGCTAGGATATAGAAGGCCCCTAGAATGCAAGGGTTATAAGTGACAAAAAGTAAATTTGAGTAAATTGAGCTCAAAGTTGAGCCTACACGGTAATTGCAATGATTTTTTTCACATTTATTTTCTTTGTCAGATTGGTAGCTGTAGTCTTTGTTTATTCGTTGCAGAAGCAAAAATATTCAAAATTATTGACAATATCTATATTGGTAACCTATACCAATGTTACTCTGACGCACTTGGACCCCTTTACTTCTAAAAAGTAAAAGTATGACAGAAAGGGAAAATACTTACACAGTAGACTAGGGGTCCAATTGCGCTTGAATCTCTTCTCCACCAAACATTTGTAATATTTCGCTTGGAGTTTATGTGATATGCGGCTAGAAAGCAGCACTGGATGGAGTTATCACTTAGCTCCATTCGCTACTAAAAAGAATAATACATTTCCAGTTTAACCATGCACTTATCTCACTTTTTTGCAGAATGTCACTTATAACCCTTCTAGGGGCCTTTAGGAAGACAATACATTGTTGACAATAATAAGTGATAATGACCCCATGACAGAATAGAGAATATTCTATACATACATTCAATTATTATTTCGAAATATATTAATTAAACCCCTTCTTAACATAGTCTACGGAAATAAAACATAATTAAATGTCATAATTTTTTAAATAATAGGAAGGACAGGTAAGTTATGATTGACAACAATAATCATTAATCGTACAAGTAAAACTGAATAACCAGGGCTTGACAAGAGAATTTAAAAACTGCCAAAGACCGCACTAAGATTTTTAAATAATACATACATGATTTAAGTTAATATAAAGTTAAATAATTATATTTTAAGTATATTGCAAAAAAAGCTTCAAAACTATGGACGTTCTAATAAAAAACAATTAAATAAACTGCTTGCCGCTAGCCTAACACAATAAAGCTAAATGTTCAAAAAGTAGATAAAGACACATTTTTCAACATATACTTACATATATATTAATAGTATACCTGAGTATTTGACGACAACTTGAAAAAATCTTCCCTGTAAATAATTAACAAAGCTCTAACATTTCATCATTCATGATTAGGACATTCACAAAATTAAATGTTAAGGAAAAGGTTAATAAATGCACCCTAATGCAAGAACAAGAACCATTGCAGAACATCAATGATGGCTATCTTCAAAAACTCAAACTGTATGAAACCATTTTTTTATACTGTTTGAGCGGCAATGACAAACTTTGTGTTATTATAATACAAAAATAACTATTTTTAGATAAAATTTAATGAATGAAATTCCATTTCACTTTGACTAAGCGAGAGGATTATCTGAACTAACATAGTGTGTGGCACTGAGTAAATTAGAACAGCTAAGATAAGGGAGGATTTACATATTGGTGGGATATATCTATTTATTTGTTTATTGACGGGAAACCCATTTTATCACTAGGTATAAGGATCTTAAGGAGATTTTATAAGGATCCATGGGGAGCAAGCTGGTCTAGTGGTTAGAGCGCGGGACTTTGGTCCCTGAAGTCCCGGGTTAAAATCAGGCCAAATCACCAATGGATTTTATCTAAGTGATAATGCCGCAACACCTAGGTCTAGCCTGAAGTAATGTGAAAAACAGTCCAGGACTCATGCCCAGCGTCCTAAAAAAGGGTATAGGGATCTGATTTTTAGTTTGTTCATCCAAACTGATGCAGTAATGTGGTAGAAAATATATTAGAGCAACTAACACAAAGGGGAAAAGTGGATCTTTCTGACGAGATATGTCACTGGTATACACATTGATAGATAAATATACTTCTTTTGACTGTCTGCAATGCTCTGCACACTCCTCATATTCAATATTCTCAACTAGGTACATACATATACATATTCCATACTTCTATTACATATTCTACAGTAAATGTTTAAAGATGTAAAAATAGAAACATTTGTTATCCTACAGAAGATCTGGTATTTAAATGTGATTTAGACTTAGTTCTGATGAAAGAAAGGTGAATTTTTGGATAGCCAAATCATCCCAAAGAACCATTGGAAGGATCAAATCATAAAGGACATCAGAAGAATAGAAGGAGATGTTGTCAGTATAGTAGAGAAAGATTGCAAAGTGTCATCATGTCATCATTTTTTCCAGTCATGAAGATTAAAGAGGACTAATACTAATGGGATCTACTGTCTGGGATCATTTCTTCTGTATCCAATAGTCAATGATGTAAATTCATAAAGCATGGTTTGAAATAATGAAAATTTTACAAATTTTAAGTTTTTGCAAGAACAGAAAATGAATTTGTAATACTGAAATTAATAGTCAGTTGATACAAGAATAGAAACTTTTGGACGGCATAGTGTGTAACTTAATCTACTTAAATTCGATGGCTCAGTAGGCAATGATAAAAAAATTACACTTTACTGAGCTAGTTCACAATGGTTAAATAGTTTACATCATACTACACAGAAGCAGGTACTTTTCCATCCGTTTTGATAGGCTGGAAAGTTGCCCTTTGCCGTGCATACACACGGAAAAGTAACGTTATGTACTTTTATCGTGCACTGTACGGTAAAAGTTTTAACTGTGCCCTTAGTCAGCTGATGAAATAAACAGCTAATAGCAACGCCCTATTTTATTTTCTGAAATATAAAAATATTTCAATAGTGTACTAATTTTTCTGTGGAGTATGATGTAAAGTATCGTACGTTACTCGCCCGGTAAGCTTTACCGTACTCGCACAAAAATCCCGGAACTTTCGTGCTCGCATAGAAAAACACCTCTTACCGGGCTAGTAACGTAATATACTATTCCTTAACAATATGAACTTATTTATAACAACAGTAAAAAACTAAACAAGAAAACAACTAAAAAATATTAACGTTGAGTAACTGGCCAACGTCCTAAACTTATATGCACAAACTGTGATTGTTGAGCATTGAATTGGTTCCATGATAAAATCGTTAAACTTACTGAGCAATATCTTATCTAAACTCTGTTTCAAACCTAAAGAAACTAAAAACATCAACATTATCAAAGTAAAATGGTAAGTTTTGTAAGAAGTTAAAACAATTTACACTCAACTATCGAGAACACATGTTGAACACAGACTTGACTGCATAGACCACTCCCAGAACAATGAAGTATGCTCCATACACCACAAACTGAAAAAAAAAAAAAAATTTAAGTATTTTTAAAAATCTAGTTTTTTTCTGTAGGGTGGGTTTTTACAGTAAAAAAATGATAATATAGGCCAGTCAATATATACAGGAAAAAAGGCTAACATCGCAAACGCGCATGTATCTACGATTTTTTTATATGTTGTTAGGTCCCCTAAGAGTAGTTTATACCCAAGTTTGCAACCCTGAAAACCCTGTGCTACTCCCATGATACTTGAAAACCTGTAAAATTCTGTCTATTTTTTTGTTTTATTGAAAAAACTAACTGAAGGAAGCGTTTATCAGGTATATGTGTCCGATACTTTTTTAAAGTTAACTAAATTTGCAACAATTGGAACCCAGTTTGAGCCCATTAAGTCCATTTCTTGCGAATATACAGTTAGTAAACAATAGGAATCTTTTTTCAAACATTGAAAGATTATCGTTTATAGGCTCATTTGCCAAGATGCGTATCGGTTGAAGTAAAGGTCATAGAGAAACGTCTTTCTTTAGGCAAGATTTTGTAGAGAATTTAATAAGCTTTAATTTAATTCCAAAAAGGTGTGTCTAGGCCTTATAGATTCCTAAAAAAAATTAAAAAAATATTAAAATAGACTTTGCGTTAATGATGTCATCAATGTAGGTACATTGACTACAGTTATTATTTATTTCTTTAAAGAGTGCAAGAATGTGAAATTGACATTTTATAGATGTATTTTATGACACTTCATCTTGTTTTGCCAGCTAAGGCAGATGTGGTGTCACACCTACTAATAGCATGCAGGAACAAACCCATCTCCCGTGGAACATGCATTCCTCTACAAGTGAAAGAATTTGCTGGATATTGGACACACTCTGATCCACCTCTCCCGCTTTTCTGGAAGTACACGTTCGTCGGTCCAGTCTCCAGAGCTTAATCCATTGAGGAGCAACAGTAGGTCGTCATCCTCCCCAATGATAAAATCCTGATCGAACGATGAACTCTTGGAGAGGGCAGTCCTCACTAGCATCGGCGTCCTCTTGAGATTGATGTATTTAAATACCATGCATCTCAAATTCAGTACACAACATGGTGATCAGTCGGTGTTCGTTAGATTCATTTGAGAGCATTTTTGCTTGGGACACTTTGATGGGTGCTGGTTCATCAAACAAAACGTTTGGCATGAGAGAGAAGTAGAGCGTCACAGGCACTCAGCTGATCCACCACAATGGATCTGACTGAATCATTTCGATGCCAGATAACCTTGTGCAAGATGTAACCACCATCAATCACTATGAACGCTTCGTTTCCTGGAATTATGTTTTAGTGAGCGGTGTAAATGCTGAATAGAAGGAAGATTTTGTGCCCTTGTGCATTCCTTCTTCAATGAATAAGGACAGTGGATACGGTGATAGCTCATACGCAAAATGCTGCTTCAATTGTTCATCTGATTGTTTTGTGACGCAGACCCTCTGGAATATGATAAGGAGATCAACATCAACTCTCTTGTTGAATACTTTTACAGACATTGTGCCTGACGTCAACGTCTTCACTTTGTCCTTTCTTTTAAAAGTCACTTTACCAAAGTTGTTACCAACAATTTGTTTTACTCCTCCTGCTCCCAGTTCTTAAGATAAGAGGCAGTTTATATCAGGGCCTCCGATGATACCACTGTGGATGGAAAATAGGCGATCGCTGACTGGGAATGGAGGGTGGGTGTTGAACCAGATCTTTATTTTTTTGGTATCTGCAGTGTCTCTCGCAATTTGGGATGCCCTCATATCAATGTGCTGTTCTGATGTTAGAGTCATAGTTTCAGTGAAACGTTCCACCTCTTCGCAAATGTAGAGCATGAAAACCAACCCTACTGACCAGCGCGCCAGCACACTGCTTGATATTCCCCGACCATGAGTTAGCCCACCCTGGCTTTTCATGGACCTCATCAGTACGTGTTCCATGGTCGAGTCTGTCCACAAACCAGACCAGAACTTATCAGAGCGTCGTTTTGTGAAGGATCCAATTACAACATTTACGCAAAATATGATATTTTTATGTTTTAAATTTTTGTGTGTAGACAAAAGAAAAACTGTAAGACAAAAGACACACAACTTTGGAATTGAATTAAAGCTTATTAAATTCCCTACAAAACGCTCCCAAAGACTTCTCTCTATGATCATTACTTCAGCCTGTACGCATCATGGCAAATGAGCCTACCGATAATCTTTCAATGTTTGAAAATATTTTCCTACTTTTTACTAACTGTATATCCGCAAGAAATGGACTTAATGGGCTCAAACTGGGTTCCAATTGTTGCAAATTTAGTTATCTTTAAAAAAGTATAGGGCACATATACCTGATAAACGCTTCCTTCAGTTAGTTTTTTTTCAATAAAACAAAAAATAGCCAGAATTTTACAGTTTTTCAAGTATCATGGGAGTAGCACAGGGTTTTCAGGGTTGCAAACTTGGTTATAAACTACTCTTAGGGGACCTAACAAAATAAAAAAAAATCGTAGATACATGCGCGTTTGCGATGTTGAATGCTGTTATTGACTGGCCTAATATAGTATTTTCCAAGAATAATTCATAAACTACCATGGCTTTGGGACTTTTTCTCACCTAGACTGATCTTTTCAAGTCTTATTTGTTGGATTTGTTTATTGGGGTTTTTCTAAAAAGCAGTCTCGGCACCTACAGTCGTCGCGGTATATCTTGAGCTGCGATGGCGGTTGTAATTTGAACAGCAGCCCCTGACTCGGAGTGGGGAGGTTGTTCAGCGCATGCGCTACCTTGTACTACACAGTCCTGAAAACATCCGCTCGGCGATCACTCGCTGTCAGCCGCCTGCTGTATGTCTATCTATCCACTCCTTTGGTTGAACGAATCATTGCTGTTTTAACATCTATGCTTACCGCTGTTCATCGTTTTCAGTGTTGTACTTTGTTGTGTCATAGTTTATGTCAGTGTTTGAGTGGTGAAAGTAAAAATAATGACTCCCATTGTGCCTAAGTCAAGAACAAAAAAATTCATAGTCAGACCAAAGAGGTTATTACCAATGTTTTAAATTTAATGTCATCTGAAGCAGAAAACAGCTCAGTAACCATTCCCCTTCAAAAGTGTCAGGAGAGAACGGCCAGGGCTACGGGCACATCAATAAGTACAGTACAGTAAAACGAATTAAAAGGGAAAAAGCTGTAGTCGATTCGGGTGCAAGTAAGTCTTTTGTGACACCTCATAAGAAAAGAAATAAAAAATGCTATATTGCTGATATAGACGATTTTGACCAAGCACTAGTGAGAAGAACCTTACACAATTTCTACATTGACGAAAAAAGATGTCCAACTGTAGATGGAATTTGTTTAAAATTGGTAGAAAGTAAAAATTTGCAAGGCAAAACACTAGTTTATGGCAGATAATCAAGAAATTTGGATTTAAGTGGCAAAAAACCATAAGTAATAGAAAAAACTTGATTCAGAAGCCTGATATTGTCCAAAAAAGAATTGACTATTTTTTACAAAAAATTAAAAAGTACAGGGAAGAAAAAAGACCTATAGTATATTTGGTCAAAACTTACATTCTTTCGTCACACGTCCAAAATAAATCTTAGAGCGACAATTCCAGCCAAGGATATGTGAAACAGATATCTAAAGGAGAAAGACTAATAATCATTCATGCTGGAGAAGAATAGTTATTTATGCAACTAGTGAGCAAAATGAGCAATTGACTCACTCGAGAGAAATACTTACTCACGAGCCATAGGCGAGTGAGGAATGGTTTCTCGAGTGAGGCAATTGCACTTTGCACTCGAGTTGCACATTACATTTTTCCTACAGTTACCATTAAACAAATAAATTGGAAAAGAAACGTAACATATTTTAACACAGAAGTGAACTTTTAATATGCCATTTAATGATACAACAGTACAACAGCTGACCAGCTGATTTACAGCCAGTGCTGCCAACGTATTTCGCGCGCATACGATCTTGTCTGCATGTTTCGCGCTCACTATTTCATGCCTTCAAGTTGCAAATCTGTTGTGAATGAGACAAAGTAATTAGAGTGAGACAATGTTAACATTGTCTCACTGATGAGTGAATTGGGCACTTTGCTTTCTCAAATCAGTGAGAGAACATGTACATTGTTAGGTTACTGTAGGAAAACGGGATATATACCACATGTGTTGTTGATGTAGATGTCATCTAAAACTACTGGTTATTATCATCAAAACTGATTGGAGTAGATAATTTAATTGTTTTTTTTTTTTTTTTTTTACTTATAACAGAAATATATAAACGTATAACTATTATAGGTGGCTATGTTTTAATTAGGTTTCTATTTCAAAACCTGATACTATTATAAATGATTTGTTCATTTGTTCATTGAGTTCAGGTACAATGTAGCTGAATCCCCACCTAGTTAGGATGTACACTGAGCTATGAGGCCACGGTTGGCACTACCTTCTGACAGTGTCTCACCATTAGCTACTGATCTCTTGTGTTCAACGGACTACCTGTTAGTGCTCAGTACTGTTTAATAGGTGGCTGGGTTTTTTAGGGGGTGGAGGTTTGTAATTCTACCCTTAGCTTATTCGAACTGCTGATCTTTTGTAGCATTCCTCTGCTCAACCTGACAGCCCTAGGATTTAGGGGAACCTTCAGAGCTGTGAGATGTCTATTCCTCTCATCTCCTTAGTTTAAGTTGCGGTCTTCCTAGACATTTCAGCTACTTTTGGGCCAGGGCCTGACAGTCCAGCCACAAGTGTTAGGAGGGTTCCGTCTCAATTTCAATGAATCTACATAGGTCTATCGGTCTATCAGTGTTTTCGAGTCCTTAGATCCGGGCAGTCCTCCCAACCAGAGCCTTCTGGGCCTTTATATAGACTTTCTCCAATGAAAATGAGGGCACCACAGTAGAGATCCAGGACTTACTAGGAAAAGATCATATCTGCTTATGTTTGTGATTTTAACTGTTTCTGGTGTGACGTTGACCGCTCAGCTAGGATGGGATCTTAAACTATTACAGAGTCTGTAGCATGGTTGATTGGAGAAATGGAATAAGATGAAGATATAATGCAAATCTTTCAAGTGAACATTAATGAAACATTTTAAATTTGTATAATAGGCCTACCTGGCTTCTGATGGGGATTTCAAAACCTCCTTCACCAGCTACTGTCAGTGTCAAGACTGTCTGCAGGATAAGGCCCACAAAAGTGTTTACTCCAAAGATGAGAGCGTAGCTGTCTTCATTGATGTAACGGGCCACTTCAGAGCTGAAACCATATCATATGATCTAATTTAAGAAGTTTGCTGTAAAGTAAAAGTAGCAAATAATTTGTGATTTCTTAAAATCAATACTTTAAATAACGGTTATAGGTATTATTTGAACGTAAAAATTATCTGTAAAAACCTATAAAATGAAAATCACACACAGTACTAGGTTGGCCGCTAACCAGTGGTAAGCTGGACAAGTTGTCTGTAGAACCTCAACTAAAGCAGTGGTATTTCTGCTCGTGCATTGCCTGCTCGTATCACCTTTTGTCAGTGTTTGTCACACAATGACAATAATGACATAATTGTGTTGAGTATAGTTCAAGTCAAACTCAAACAAAAATTATAGTGTTTTTATTTAGTGTTGTGGAGTTTTGGCTTAGCATAATTTAATAAAGCTGTATAAGATTTATTGCAGCCATTAAACATAACATTTTGTAATAGGCATTGTTACAATAGTACTTAAAAATAGATCATACATCAATTATAAATTTCAATATATACAATATCCTATTTAGAGTCTAAACATGATAAGTCACTATTTAAAAATTCTTCCTGCGTGTAGAATGGTTTCGATTTTAAAAACTCAGTAATTTTTCTTTTAAATTGGTTTAAAGGTAGTTCACGAAAACAAGTGGGTAGCTTTTTGAAGAAAATATGTTGGATGTAAAAATGGCTATTTAAAGTTTTTGAAAGTCTGATTTGAGGTGTGACTAGGTTGTTTTTGTGTCTTGTGTTGTATGGATGAGAATAGCTAGAAAATTTTAAGAGGTTGTTTTTTGTATGAATTAAATTACAAAGAATGTACATAGATGGCAGTGTAAGCAAATTTAAATTGGAAAAGTGATCCCTACAGGATTCATGATCTTGCAATCCTAGCATGGCTCTAAGAGCTTTCTTTTGCCAACTAAATGCTTTCTGAGCTAAGTGTGAACCACCCCAGAGACGCAAACCATAAATCAGCTGTGAGTGAAACAAACCGTAGTAAGTCATTTTTAAAGTGTTAAAACTCACACATGATCCAAGTTTTCTCAAGAGACAGGTTATTCTAGCCAATATTTTACAAAGTTGTGTAATGTGGTTATCCCAGCTTAGTCTGTTGTCAATATGGATGCCTAAGAGTTTGACTGTTTTATAAGCATCAGTGGGTTGATCATTTTTAAGAGAAAAGTAGATGTATTCTGTTTTTTCCTCATTGATAGCAAAATTATTGATTTTATACCAGAATTTAGCACAGTTTAGGGCATGATTAAGATCGTACTCAACTGTTAAAACATTATCATCTTTACAGAACAGGGTAGTATCATCAGCATACAGTATTGATTGAGTAGGGATATTAAAACTAGTCGTTAATAAAAATCAAAAACAGGAAAGGTCCTAAAATGGACCCCTGTGGAACACCAGCGTCAAATCAATAAGGCATGTACCTGTCACCAACTTGTCTTCAAACCCTTGCAAAACTTGGTTAATTAATTCTTCTACAGCCATTGTGGTTGAACAGTTGGCTCTAAAGCCATATTGACCTTTTATATAAAAGGTTATTCACAGTAAAAAAGTGTTGAAGCTGCTCAAGCATACATGGTTCAATTATTTTTCCTAAAATTGGAACCAAAGCTATTGGACGATAGTTTGATGGGACATTCTTGTCGCCTTTCTTGTGAATTGGCATTACTCTGGAGGTTTTTAAACAATCAGGAAACTTTCCTTCAATTAAAGCGAAATTTATAAGATGTGTTAAAGGTTTCAGGATAAAATTAACTTTGTATTTAAAAGTAAAATTGGAGAGTCCAAACAAATCTTCACTACGGGAACCACTGAGTTTACAGACCAAAGAATACACTTTATGTTTATCAACAAGGGTCCATTTAAATATCTGGATGTCAGGAGTATTAGAATATGGCTTAGGGCAGTTACTCAACAATTCAAGATGAGTAATTACATTATCATCATTATAGAGTTTATTTTGTGTGTTGTTTGAAACAGAAGTAAAGAAATTGTTGAGAGTGTTAGGTGTTAAAGTTGTTTTGGAAAATGTTTTAATCTGTCCTGATTCTTTTCTGATTATTCCCCAAGCTTTTTTACGTGTATTTTTGGATTTTGGATCATATATCGCAAAAAGTTGAGCCAAAATTTGTCCCAATTAGATTTTAACAGGCCATGTACATAATCTTGAGGAATGTACAAACTCTTACATTGACAAAGGCATTTATCTGAATCCTAACTGTAGTCACTTCCTTTGTACCCTTTCCAGTAAATTCAAACTCCTTCTTTTTTTATTCTTGATCCTTAAACTATAATTCATTCAACCCAAATTGGGTTGAATGAATTATAGTAACCCAAAAATCTTTTTCAATTTTTTTTTCAACGGAGGCTTTTACCAGTGACCTGTATTTTTTAAAATAACAAACAAATTCAGCGTTTAACAATAATGAATAGTAAAGAAAACCCAGTCTCACTTAAAAATAATATACAAAAGTTTAAAAATGAACAAAACATCTGTTCAGTTTTCACAATCAGTAAAATCTTAAACCTACTCTACTATATTTAATTTACTTAACAAAATCAAATGGTAGCCTAGTTCACCAATATTTTTTTTAAAGATGTTTGAATTTACTTGAAAAATATAAAACTGATATTGTATTAACTGTACATATAAACAAAAAAGGAATTTGTATAATACACAAAAGAACTATATTATGCCTGAATATTTAATATTAAGTAAACTTCATCAATTTTAAACAACCATTTCTTAAGGTTTTTTAGAAAATATTTTTTGTTCCTTGAGGTTTTAATGTTATCTGCCAGTTTATCAAAACATAAAATTCTTAGTAAAAAATGTGTTTTAGTATAAATAAACTTTTTACTCTTCTTATTTGTGTTTTTTATTAACTCTTAATAGCCTTCTTCTTAGCAGAAGTGTCATCAACATCATTTTCATGGTTGCTAATATCAGTTTCATCTTTAAATTCTCAGTCACAGTGTTCACCTCCTCTTAGTTAGCACGTTTTTCATCTTTACAATATTGGAGCTAGAATTTGTGCTAGGCTTAATTAAAGAATAATAGTCACTAATTAAAACGTGTTTAGCCCAAAAAGCTTATACTATATTTTTTAACCATGATACAAAAAATTGTTGAATAAACTTTACTATATACACTGATTGAGATATTAACAAATTATAAAAAAAATCTTTATTTGGCAAACTAAGTACTAATTTATAGACATCAATTGAAGAACTATGACACCTACGTAGGTGAGAAAATGAGGAAAACATAATTTACTGCCCAACAGTTCAAGACAACGAAGAATATCTTGTGTAGTGAAAGGGGCATTCAAGAGGGGACGACACTTGGGAGAATACATGCTATTTAATATTCCCAAGTATTGTCCCCTCTTGAACATCCCAACATCTTCCTTTGTATCATTCCCGCTTAGAAATTTGTTCATTTTTCTTGATACGTCTCCACCTTCCTAGGTATAATAATTTTCACAAATTTCAACTTTTTGCATTCTCGATCTTCAATTCACTTGAAAGGGTACAAAGAAAGTGAAAAGTTTAAAAATAAACAAAACATCTGTTCAGTTTTCACAACCAGTAAAATCTTAAACCTACTCTACTATATTTAATTTACTTAACAAAATCAAATGGTAGCCTAGTTCAGCAATTATTTGTTTTAAGATGTTTGAATTTACTTTGAAAATATGAAACTGATATTGTATTAACTGTAAATATAAACAAAAAAGGAATTTCTATAATACACAAAAGAACTAAATTATGCCTAAATATTTAATATTAAGTCAACTTCATCAATTTCAAACAACCATTTCTTAAAGTTTTTTAGAAAATGTTTTTTGTTCCTTGAGGTTTTAATGTTATCTGCCAGTTTATTAACCCTCCGAGTGTCTCTAGTTTTTGTCTTAATGTTCGCCCATTTATTGCACAATCGCAGGGTTTTATTAAAATGTATCTTAGAAACTTAAAATCAATGTAAAGTATACTGTTTTATATATCATTTTGTTTGGAAAATTATAAACTTCAATGTAACATATAAAACATAAAAAAAATGTTCAACAATTTTTGTGGGGTTAACATTTCTCAAACATTATAAAATAAATGAAAAAAAAAATTATGTTTGCGCTCAATAAATTGTTATAATTTATAGGTCTACAAATATTTTAAAATAGCCACTTTGTTCAGAATTTTATGAGGATTCCAAAAATATAATAATATAAGGAAGTAGATTTGCAAATAAATAAGTTATGGGCAAAAAACAGATTTCGGTACATAGCGTTTAGCTAAGAATGCATAGCCTAACCATAGCTAGGAATCTGGCTGATAATTTACATCAATATCACTACCTACTTCTTCAGGATCATCAACCAGGCCTTCAAAATCACTTAAATCTTCTTATAATGCACCACGTATATCACTACTTATGATTTTTAACACTAAAACAATGATAAACGTAATAAAACACATCAGTCATCGGTGCGAGGTTAACCAAGCTGTTTACAAATTTATTTATTTATTATACATTCCAACGGCAGAGCCATTTGAAAAAAAGGCAACAAACAGTTTCCAACTTAACACAAACAATGTGACAATCGAAAGAACAATAGAAAAATCAACAATAAATAACAATAAAGATATAACAACATAAATAAATGACAAAATAAATAAGAACAATATAAATAAATAACAATATTAATAAATACAATATAAATAAATAACAATCCCGTTACAATAAATATGTAAATAAATATAATGAATGCGTAAAAATTAAAAAAATAGCGTAAGGCTGAAAAAACGACAAACACGCACGTCAGCTGTCTGCTACAATTATGATCGGCTCGAGAAAAAAAAGCGCTTAGAGACAGACCTCGGGAGAAAGCTTAGAATCTGCCAAAAAAAAAACTATACCTAACTCGATCCATTTCAATCTGATTTAATCAGTCATAGAGCTTTTGCCGTAAACAGTGTTTGTGAGTCGCAAAAGCGAAAC